CCTAGTCAATATCTTTTTTATTGAACTCTCCTGAGTTATAATTCTTTTTGAGCTTTAAGAAAAAGATAATTTATTTAGCTCCGTTGTGTTTTCATAGCAATCTGTGGTAGCAAAAGCTGAATATTTTCAAGAATATACCACTTTTCCTAGCCAAATCTTCGTGTTTCACTCTATTTGGTCAAGATTAGCATTGATAGGTAGAGAAAAGTACATAGATTAAAAAATATGTGGGAATTTTCTAATCTCTTTTTTGTTTGCAAGTTACAGTTGCTCAAAGTTTGTGATTTAGCCTCTTCGAAAAATTTTCAGGCAGCACTGGGGAAAGCAGGAGCAACCAAACTATCTCAGTCTCTTTTAAATATCTAGGCAAATTTTTTGTGCTTACTCTTTCTTTGAATAGAGCTTCAGATGCTAAAATAAATTTCAGCTTTTCTTCTTTCTCCTACCCACGTGCCATGTTTATCTGCACTGCACTGCTAAGTGCTGACCACACCTAAAATTTATTTTATGGATCAGTGCAGTAATTGCATTGTTGCACTTTGCACTTTGTCAAAATCTATCATCCTTTTTTCAAATATCAATTTGCTTATATAATATCATGATGGGAGCAGTACAAGTAACACATTATCCCTCAGGTGAATCTCAGCAGGCGAGTCCACGCACCATGGTGCTTCATTCATGTTGTGAACTCACTACAGAAATTTGTGTTGGAATGTTTATCCAGCTGCCTAAAGCCCAACATACACGGGGCAACATGTTGAATACAACATTGAAGCAATATGTTGTATTCAACATGTTGCCTCGTGTATGATAGCAAATTTGTTGCATGCAACATCCAAGCAACATGTTGCTTCAAGTTGAAAAATTTCAACTTCAAGTAACATGTTGCTTCAAAACATCAAAGGTAACTAGGCAACACATAAGGAATGCAATAATAACTTCAGCCTTTTTTTATTCATAATAATAATTATTATTAAAATAGCAAGTAACATGTTTTTCCTTTTGTTCAACAGTGTGCTACATGTTGAATACATCATGTTGCTTGATGTTACATTCAACATGTTGCTCCGTGTATGTTGGGCTTTAGGAGTTACCATCAGTGGCGGATCTATGGGGGGAGGCAATGCCTCCCAAAACAGCTGCAGTAATGGACTATGTATACAATCTTTAAACCACAATAGCAGCTCATTTTAACAGGCTTAGTCTTTATAATTTTTACTTCCCTGAAAGTTTTGCACATGCACATCACAAGCTTAGTTGACCACACACCCTAATCACCACTCCCCTCTCATAATTGCCCCCTCAAAAATTAAATCCTAGATCCGCCCCATGATCATGATTATAGTAAGGAAATATGCACTTGTGTGGACATGTATATTTCTTCTTATTTTGTGTGTATCCTATGCTTGCTAACCTATGCCATTGTTGCATAAACAGCTCTAATGTAAATCTGCATGCTGTATAAGCTTAACCACGAAAAGGTGTGCTATTATAGTGAATATAGCACACGTAAAAAATTTGGGACAAAATTCCATGTTAATTTGACACATGTTTTTTTGTGTGTATATTAATGCTTGAGACTATCATGTGATCTTTATTAATGCAGGGGGTGGAGCCAGTCCTCAGGCCTAATTGTTTCCCATTGTTTTCTCAGCTGGATACAGAGCAGCTGGTGACATTGAAAGGGAAAACTGTCATTGATTATACTCACTGAGGTACTCCACCTGTAGTTTTATAAATTTCACTGCCTTTTCTCTCCCAATGTCTCCTAGTGTTAAACTATTGTCATTAGTTTTTGAATTAGCTCGTAACTCAACCACTTACATGTACCAGCTGGTACACATAAGCTCATTATATCTCATATACTGGGGAGGTAATTAACATTAGTTACACAGCTACGTGTATGTATATGTACTTGTACTTGTATATATGTACATGTGCATGGTCAATACCAAATTGCTGTACTCATAATCAATGTATTAACTTGTTCAAAAATTGAGAATTGGAATTCCCTACATTTTAATTTTGGCAAAATTTGGCTAACTAAAGGCATTAAAAATTTTTCAAAAAAAAAAGATTGGTTAGGATTCACTTTGTGCTAATTTGTCAGAAAAGTAATGGAAACAAGGACAAGTAGGATTCCAAATGACCAACGAAAATACGAAATGAAAATCCTACTGTTGTGATGCAAATTCTACTCTACATTGTATGCTTTCAACATTATTTAATAAGAAATTAGAGATCATCTTGTAATGTAGAGTAGAATTTGCATCACGGGAGTAGGGTTTTATTTCCTATTTTGTCAGACTATCCTACTCATAAGAACCTTAATATTTGTAACAGAAAATAAAAAATGGGGGTGAGTTTGGAGCCTTTGCTTTTTTTAAATTGACCTATGATCATGAAAGCATTGGGGTAGGACAGTTCTTACCTTGAACCAAATATTTTGTAATGATAAGAGTGAGAGAGGAAATTTAGAACATTTACATGTATATACATGACTTATTTCTATCCTATTCTTTGCCCTTTCCTCCCCACCCTTACTTTCTCCTCCACCTCTCATTCTCTAGTGGTTTAATGGGCAGGATTGTATTATCATCAAAATTAGGTGACATGTCGTGCTATGTTGCTAGAGTTTTTAAAGAGGGTGAGTTTTATCGATTTTAGTCATAATTATCTTAAAATATTCTTTTTTTTATTGCACTATTGTATTGCCTCCAGCTGAAGGTCGTGTGATCAGTGACTCCGCCCTATTGTACCCCCACTATAATAACGGATTGGTAATAGTGTATTATGATAAGAATGGGAATGGAATAACAAGGAATGAAGAACAGGAACCAAAAAGTACCAATTTAATTGTCATTTATAAGGTTTCTGAGAGATACTATTTATTAGCCGAGTAAGTCATTAATTATTACTATTATTATTAATTGATGGGTGTGGTCTCATAATGTCCTTTTTAGTTTGTCATGTCGGAACTGGTTGATCCTGCCCACTAATGAGGACAAACCAGTTTATCTGGTTTCTGATAGTTCACTATCAGTGTCAGCTTTCCTTATATCACAGGAGGATTTTTAGAAAAAGTAATTAATTTATTATTATTATTATTATTATTATTATTATTGTTATTGTTATTATTATCATGTATGGTAGTGCGTCAGTAGCTGAGGAGGTGTGTTTAGTAAAGTTTAGTAAAAAAGATATTGACTAGAAATTAACAGGAATTTTTGTGACAGAATGACAGACAGACAGAATGACAACCCAACTGCATAGTACCCGCCTACGCAAGCGGGGTGAGTCCAACTAGTGGTCTGTTGATTGTTACAAGCATTGTGAAGAAAAAAATTTTCCATCTTTATAATTTTTCTGATGCTATACAAGTACATGTTCTTGTGTTGCATAAAAATTTTGATGAATTTTTGCTCAAACTTGCCAAACTCTGTCAAAAATGACTGCACTACATGTACTTATGAAAGTTAATTCCAGTCAAATTTGGATTTTTATGAATTTTTTGAAATTGCTTTAAATTGGGGTCAAAGTCCATGTACTATAGCACAGTCAAAAATGGCTAGGTAAGATTTTTCCATCTTTATAATTTTTGGATGCATATGTACATATAATAATGTTGTACATGTTACAAGTTTGAGTGGATTCTGATCAAAATTGGATTTTAAAAGAATTTGATTTGCTCCAAAAGCCATACATTTGGAACATGTTGCTAACTGAGCTCACTTAGCATGCTTTGTGGGAAACCCTGGAGTAACTACATGTAAGCATTTTTAAATCAAGTTATATTTTCTTTCAAGTTACATGTACACTGTACATTGTAATGACACAGCCTTAATTGTGGTACACAAAACATGGCTGCCATGAAACGAAAGAAAACAAGTACTAAAAATTAGAATCAAGAGAGCATTCTAGAAGGTAAGATGGGATAATGCGTTACTTTAATTTGAAGTTATGTGTGCATGCATTAATTGCTAAAGAGCCACACCTCTATGAATCATAGTGACTAATAGAATTTATTGTAGACTATTTGTACCTAAATTTATTTTATCAAAAATGTGAGCAGTGTATTGGAATCACAAATCAGCTTATCTAATTATCAGAATTTTAAGTTAATCATAGACTTATAGTTAGAATTCATTGCTAGTCATTGGAAATTCATCTTGAACATTTAGATTCTGAGGCCTCACATAAATATTGATTCTTTGCTTGACAATAAAGAATGAAAGAGTTAGGATAGTTAGGAGGGCACCAAAACCAGCACATACCTATCAAAAATTAGAATTATTACCTTGTTTATTTTAATGACTTACAGCAGCAGTTATGAATTCTCCACCATTTGGTGGAAAAGGCCCACTGCCAGAGCTAGTGTATTGTGGTCCATCGCAATGAAAACCACTGTCTGTATCAGGATGCTTGGATGTTATGTTGAAGTATGTAAAGCAGGTCTTTCCCCAACCAGCTGAAACCACTGTAGTGGTAATGGATAGTGTGACAATTGAGCCAGTGAAAAATACAGTTTGCATAATCTTAGCAAACAACCTAGAATGGATGGGAATTGAAAATAAGCTTACGTTTTGAAAATGAACTTACGTTTTGATATCCATTGAATATAACACACTGAATAACTCAATGGCAGTTAGCAGAGCCAGACATATTGTAGCAATGGTAGCACTTGCTATACTCAACTTACAAGTGGGCACATTATAATTGTACAGACTCTCATTTATAAGTTGAGAATAAGTAATAAAGAAATTACATGATGCCCCATTACTAGTGTTAGCCTGAATGAGACCAAGAGAAGTACCAGCAGCCCCCAGTGACACAAAGAGCAGCGCAAGAGAAGCTACTGATAAGTTATTCTTGATTCTTGATCCACTAGATCTAGGCATGATAGTATCTATAAAGATAAATTCGTATATAGTTGTGTGGGCTATATCCTTTATATGTATGAAGGTAACCACAGAGTCACACCTGTTGTTTACTAACTAAAGTATGCGTACTCACTATAGCAATGCGTTGGGGTGTCTAAGCATGCAGCATAGGGGAATACCGTTGATATAAGTCTTTTTGTAACCTTTCAGTATAAATAAAGGAATATAATATACACTTGTGTAGGCATCTACTAATTACTCCAATCATGACGTTATGTTGTTATAGTGTTCCTAATAATGTATTTTTGTGTGTATCCTTTGAGCCATATCTTATAATCAAAGCAGATCCTATTAGCAGTTATCATATGCTCTTCTTACATTAATATATGTCTATAATGTATTTGTTAGTACATAATGATATTTTATGTCACACTAATACATCATTGCATCTGGCATTTTCAATGGTTTAAAAGTCTTGAAGTAATGTTATCTGCTTATAATAACCCTTTTTTTATTACATACTAATGTACATATCAGGAACATAAAAGTAAGACCATTAAATTGTATATTTTAGACTGTTTAAGATCCTCCAGCAACTGCCATAGTACAGCATTCATAAATGGCTTCTTTATAATTTAATATTAAGCTTATAAAAGTGCAGTAGTTCCCCTGCAGCCCTATCACTCAACCACTTGCCTTTATTGTGGTATTTCATAAAAATAGTGAACTGAAATCTGCCACCTATATCTTAACTATTGCAGCAATTAGAAACCAAACTCTTAAATTTAATTTCTAGGTGATATACCCACATAAATTAGAGACATCTATAGGAATGGCATTAATTGAATTGTAGCATTCCGTTGTTACCACATTCATCAATGCAACAATATATGTGAATGCTGGCTGTTAATTTAAAAGAAATTCGCTCACTTCAAAAATTAATCAATAAGAAGAGGATGTATCACTTTAAAAATAACAATAGCACCACATTTGTTTTTTTAAATCTATTTAATCAATGGCTAATGTGATAGCCAGTACTAATTTGCTAAAAATTAATGTTAAAAAATTAATCATCATTGTCATTGTTCTCCATGTTAGTGTTCAGCTCCCTGGAATAAGGTGACTCATCATTAGACCTGATGTACATCAGTTGTTGTGCAATATAGACACAAAGAGCTCCAGCAGCTAACAGAACACCAACACCAGCAAATACCTATCAGGAGAATAATTATTATTAGCATGTGATTGTATCTTACAGCAGCAGTTATGATTTCTGCACCATTTGGTGGAAAAGGGCCAATGCTAGAACTGTAACTATCAGAGATATATTGTGGTCCATTACAGTCAAGGTTAAAGACTGATCCTGGAGTACCACCTGTTCGAGTTATGTTTTTGTATGTAGCACAGGTCTTTTCCCAGCCAGTTGTAACCACAATCATGGTAATCAATAGGAACAAAATAGAACCAACAAATATTACAACTTGAATAATCTTAGCAATAAACCTATAGAAATGGTATGAAGATAAGCTACTCTACCACTGAACTTACGTTTTGACATATATTTTAAATGAAACACTGATTAGCTCAATGGCAGTTAGCAGAGCCAGACATATTGTAGCAATGGTAGCACTTGCTATACTCAACTTACAAGTGGGTACATTATAATTCACCAGACTTGAGTTCATAGCTTGAGTATAAGAAATGAAAAAATGGCAAGTTGCATATACTCCATTGTTAGTGTTAGCCTGAAGGAGACCAAGAGAAGTGCCAGCAGCTCCCAATGACAGAAAGAGTATCACAAGAGAGGCAAATGAGAAGATCTGCTTCATATTGTCTGCACTAGGCATGATAGTATCTCAAATATTAAGAAATACCTGTAGGGTGTTCTTTATATGCATTTATGCAACCACAAAGCCACTCCCATTGTTTATCACCTAGCTTCATGTTGCAAACATTCTTACTACAGTAATTATGTGTTGGAGTGTTTATGCAGCTGCCTTAGGGAATTACCATCCTCTCTATTAATGGTAATGATAATAGTAAAGAAATATGCACTTGTGTAGGCATGTTTATCTCTTCCTATCAATGTATTTTGTGTGTATCCTATCATAGATAATAGAGTCTCTAATATCTATGATCCTATGCTTGCTAACATATGTTAGTGTAACATGAACAGCTATTAATAATCTAAACCTGTTGTATAAGCTTAATGGCAATGGTTCACTGTCTATACACATATGATACAAATGTATGTATGTTTTGCGTGGTTGATTGTGCAGATCAAAGGTTCATTTTTGTTGTCTAGCTCACTGGATGTGGTCAATTTTTATATTTATACTTTGAATAATGTAAAAGTGGTTAAAATTTATTGTATACCCCTCAATTTTTATCATTACATGTACGTTAAAAGCTATATGCTATCACATTAGACACGCCCTTATTAAAATCAAAGCTATGTATACATTGGAGTGGCCATTAATTAAATTGTAGCATACTTAAGCATTCATAATGTTCAGTAAGAATACAAGCTGTAGAATGAAGTTGGTAGCACACAAAAGGGATCATTTCACTGCAAAACCAACAAAAATGTACCGTACAAGACGATTTATTGGCGAGGAATTAATATTGGCAATTAGCGGATCTATGAAGAAATCGCCAATATAAAATTTGCCATTTTGTTTCAATTTGAGCCAGCTCAATGGCACGTGACACAAAATTGCCTATATAAAATCCGCCAATTTCTTTCCACAGGCAAATTTGCCAAATATTACTCCCACCAATAAATCATCTTGTACGATATTATAATGATGACACATTATAAATTTTTTATTTACAAATAGGATCATCTTCTAGTGTATAGCACTGAGTGAACTCATAAAGTTTCAAAATTAACGGACCAGTTAACTACCAGTATGCAGCTGTTGATATGGGAGATTATGGTTAAACCTTACATGTAAGTTGATTATTTCTAAATGATGGATGTGTTGTTAGCTTAAGTGAATTGATTTGGTGTTTTGATAGCCATTTGCAGAAAAAATATCTTTCTTCTTTCTTAAAATAAGCTAGTAATTTACCAAATTTCCACCTCCAACACTACTACATGTACATGAGGTGTGTTAATAATTGATACTTGTACAATAAAACTAACCCTAAGAAAAAAATACAATAACATTATGTTTGCTCATGAAGAAAGTATTTTCTTCATTTACTGGGAAATAGCCAGTATTGATAGGCTAGTCATCATTGTCATTGTTCTCCATGTTAGTGCT